GCCAGGAGCCCCTAGTAGCGTCCTTGCTCCTAGTAGTAAGGCCAGGATCCCTGCTGCCTCGCAGGCTGTCCAACTAGTCCTATCCTGCCTCCCTGGTGCCTCGCAGGCTGTCCAATTAATTCTTTCTGCTTCCCTGGTGCCTCCCTGGTGCCTCCCAGGCTGTCCACTTAGTCCTTTCCTGCCTCCCTGGTGCTGCCCAGGCTGTCCAATAGGTCCTTTCCTGCCTCCCTGGTGCCTCCCAGGTGCCTCCCAGGCTGTCCAAATGGTCCTTTCCTGCCTCCCTGGTGCTTCCCAGGCTGTCCAATAGGTCCTTTCCTGCCTCCCTGGTGCCTCCCAGGCTGTCCACAGGCTGTCCAAATGGTCCTTTCCTGCCTCCCTGGTGCCTCCCTGCGGGACGATGCCGATCTAGTAGCGTCCTTGCTCCTAGTAGTAAGGCCAGGAGCCCCTAGTAGCGTCCTTGCTCCTAGTAGTAAGGCCAGGAGCCTCTAGTAGCGTCCTTGGTCGTAGTAGTAAGGCCAGGAGTGCCTAGTAGCGTCCTTGCTCCTAGCGTCCTTGCTCCTAGTAGTAAGGCCAGGAGCCACTAGTAGCGTCCTTGCTCCTAGTAGTAAGGCCAGGAGCCCCTAGTAGCGTCCTTGCTCCTAGTAGTAAGGCCAGGAGCCACTAGTAGCGTCCTTGCTCCTAGTAGTAAGGCCAGGAGCCCCTAGTAGCGTCCTTGCTCCTAGAAGTAAGGCCAGGAGCCCCTAGTAGCGTCCTTGCTCCTAGTAGTAAGGCCAGGAGCCACTAGTAGCGTCCTTGCTCCTAGTAGTAAGGCCAGGAGCCCCTAGTAGCGTCCTTGCTCCTAGTAGTAAGGCCAGGAGCCACTAGTAGCGTCCTTGCTCCTAGTAGTAAGGCCAGGAGCCACTAGTAGCGTCCTTGCTCCTAGTAGTAAGGCCAGGAGCCACTAGTAGCGTCCTTGCTCCTAGTAGTAATAGTAGTAAGGCCAGGGCTCCTAGTAGTAAGGCCAGGAGCCGCTAGTAGCGTCCTTGGACAAGAAGCTACTAGTAGCTCCCGGCCCGTGGTTTGGTCCGTTCTGCGACTGTTGGGCCCCCGACCTATTCAGCTCCCGCTGCAGCTGACATCATCGCGGTGGGCCCGGAAGACCCGAAGCTCTTCCCCGTGGGCGACGGGGTCTTCGTGTTTTTCACCGGCAAGATGTGGGGAGCCCCAGGCGGAAACGTGAGGCTCAGCGGCTGAGCTTCTTTTTTAAAGCCCGTGGCCCTGCTTCCTTATACTTATATAATAACTCTTGAATCTTTATTAAGTAATTTAAGTAGGCGCCTACTTAATTAAGTAAGGGAGCAAGCTACTAGCTACTTAAGCGACTACCTACTACACGCGATAGTGCTCGCACTAATGAGATTTCTTGGAAAACTTAACATTCTGACATGGAGCTTTCCGATGCGACCAGTTTCAGCAGCTGGTGCGGTGGTTTCTCTTGCCATGGGTTTCTGAACTCATTTGCAAAATCCAAGTGGATGTGGTGGTACGTGGGGAAGCTCATGAAGCGCTGGGTCACCCTTCTTTACTTCTTTTCGGGCCCTGTAGCCTTATTAATAGTAGTAAGGCCCTTGTTACTAGTAGCAATGCCCTTGTTACTAGTAGCAATGCCCTGGTTGCCAGTAGCAATGCCCTTGTTACTAGTAGTAATGCCCTTGTTTCTAGTAGTAGTGCCCTTGTTACTAGTAGTAATGCCCTTGTTGCTAGTAGTAATGCCCTTGTTACTAGTAGTAATGCCCTTGTTACCAGTAGTAATGCCCTTGTTACCAGTAGTAATGCCCTTGTTGCTAGTAGTATTGCCCTTGTTACCAGTAGTAATGCCCTTGTTACTAGTAGTA